GCATAAAAATATAAATAATGTACTATTGATAATTTTAGTAGCTGATTGATGTGAATGAAGAATATCAGTAACAAGGTAAGGTACACATAAATTAATTAAGACTCAAAATAATAACATAACAATATAAATGACTGTATACATTTTTGAAAAACTAATCTTAAATTTATTTGTGATTTAAAATAAATTATGAATGTTAATCATCTTGTAAATTTTTTTCAGAAAATCCTCTGGCTCTGTCGTCTTCAATTAGAATTTTTTTCAAGTGTTCAAACATTGTAATTAAAATTAAAATACTTGTAAAAATCATAAACATCAATAAACTATATGAATTTTGTCGAGCTGCATATTCTTCATACATTTTGTTTCTTGTATGTTTTTCTCGAGTTTCATAGTGTCGCTTAAATATATTTGTGTAATGTGCCTTAGACCATTCATCAAAATTATAGTCTCTGCCACGAACATTGGTTTTATAAATATCATTTTTCGTGTACATTGATTCGAAAGGTTGTTGTTTAGTAGTGTRTTGAGAAGGATTTTGATTAAGATTAGCTCCACTGTCATATAGTTTTCTTTGACGAACATTTCCCAAGACTTCATATGCTGAAGTTATATCACGGAAATGTTTTGCAGCTTCTTCACTTCCTTTATTTTTATCTGGATGGTATATCATTGATAATCGGTAATAAGCATCTTTTATTTCTTTATGTGTGGCAGATTTAGAGATATTAAGTGCTTCATAATGGCTTTTGTAAGCTACACAAATAATTGTATTTACATTAAAGCCTTTAAATAATTTCTTATAATTGCACCACATACTAATACAATTTACAGCTATATATATAACAATTATATATTATCTGCAAAATTATAAYAAATCATAACTAGATGGTGTCTATTACAATATRTAGAACATCTAAAAAAATGTAATAGAAGTGTAAAAGATTAAAGATACCTGTATAAATAAACAAGTGTTGTTTTATAAGTTTTGCATTAGTGAACTAACTCTGTTTCTTAATAACATTTTGTTTTACTTATTGTTATGTTTCCTCAAAGTTCCAATTGTAAGCAAATAATTTCTAATTTTTTAACATCTTTAAAATTTACTTAAGAGTTAAGATAATCATCACTAATTAATACCTTGTGTAATTTACTCATTTTACAATTCACATTCACAATAATTGAGGATTTAGATGTTTTTAATTTTGATATTGAGATAACACTGACAATAGATATGAAAATTGCTATCACATAAGAACATATGTTCTAAACACTTGTTTTTTTTTTTTGTTCCAACCCATAGGGTAATATTAATATTACTCCATGTTCCAACCATACCATAAACCTATAAACACGGTCCCACAGGCCACAGATATTAGATAATAAAAATAAATTCTATTATATATATAGTGCCATTATGGCTTCAAATCCAAGTAAGAGTATAACCTATTGACAATAGGCTATTGTAACAGT